AAAAAAGACAAGCTAAGCAAACTAAAACGTTCTTATGTGGCCAGAGCAGGATCGCCCACCAATTCCATGTTGAGATATGTCACTGGAGCTTTCAGTAAACTGCCACTTTCAACTGATCGTTCGTTTGTAAATAAAATCTAATTTGTTTATTAACTTTATGGCTTAGTGTTAATTACAACCACTATTCCTTTTTATTATTATTATTCTTATTTGTTTATTTATTTTTATTCTCTCATTCAGTGGACAAGTATATGTCTACATCCGTTCTTATTGCTTGGATATGAAAATATCACATTGATTGTAGCAATCGCTGGTCATACAGTGTTTCGGATTCAGAAATCCATGACTTAAAAATTGCAAAATTTTTAAAAGCCGCATGCTTTTAGGATTCCCGATAGAGTGTTAAGTTTTGCCATAAAGTTCTTTTTATATTCGCTATATTATTTATATTTACTATTATTATGTAATTATTAGTTATTATGTATTATTAATAATATATAATAATAGTAAATAAATAATAGTAAATTATAATAATATTAATAAATAAATATAGTAATAACTAAAGTAAATATTATTATATATTTTACTATTTTTATATTACTATATATATATTTACTATTATTATTAATAGTATATTACTAAAATACTATTTCTTTAAGCATATTTAGTGGCAGCATCTTTTTATTTGAAAAGTGATTCGACACAAAATTGAGGATTGAGGCTAATATTTTTAATTGCTTCATAATGAGAGTTCGTCTTTATAATGAGCTTATTCTCAATGCATGTAGCATATATCCAATAATAGACATTATGCTTAAATATAGTATGTTGTTCTCAATCCTACACCTGTTTTTAAATACCAAATCTGAGAAGTTTTGTAAATAAAAATCTGAGAAGTTTATTTGTACATAATACATTTTATTTCTGTTTAGAGTTTCATATACCACTTCCGGTTTATCAATATCTAATATGTTGTTTCGACTGATGTAAAAGTTTTAAAAATTAAAATTGAAAAGTTTTTGTTTTTATTATAATATAGTTTTTCATTAAAATCTGCTACAGACTTCAAGTAAAGTATCACTTTCTTTTGTCCATTAAAGGCTGTTACAGGCTTCCTGTAAAGTACCCCTTCCGGCTGTCCAATTTTATTCAAAATCTAATAAATTTTCCATATGAAAAAAAAAAATATGCATTCTTCGACGTTTCGTATAAGGGTTATTGTGGACGAAATAATCGTCGCACATAGACAGGTAGACATCATTCTAAAAATAATCAAAACGTATTGTGGGGACCCTAATTCATGGTCATTCACTGAAAACTCACTGTTGAATTTTTGGACCAAAAACATCACTTTCAATAATTAAGACACAATAACACGCCGAATAAATACTGATTCAGAAGTCAAACAAGAAAAAAAAAAAAAAAAAAAGTGCTTTTTTTTTTTTCTTGTTTGACTTCTGAATCAGTATCACTTTCAATAGTTATATATACAAGTTGGCGAGAGGTAAAAAGCCAGATTTCTGGAATTTTAACCCTATATGACTGACCTATACGAATTTCGGACTGACCCTATATGAATTTTAAAAGAGTATTCGGTAAAAATAAAATAAAATAAATTTTAAATTTGTTAACTTAAAAAATATCAGAATCAAGAAGAAAAGTGCTATAACTGTAGAACATAATTGCCTTTTTTTCGTTTACTACGAAAAATTAAAATTTATTTCTTTAACGTAATTAAAATAATTTTTTATAGATACATCCCTTTTTTTTCCCCCTCGTAACTTGGTTTTAATTTCTTTTTACTGCAGTTTAAAAAAATCAATATTTCTTTTATAAAAGCAAATAAAAAATAAATATTTGCGTAATTCTAGGGTAAGAACATAAGATCTTCTTTGTCATTACTACTCAAAATGGCATTATGTATGTTATGACTACAAGACAAAAAGGAAGCTAATTGAAAAGATCTTAGATTGCCTTTTCAAGTATCTTTACAATTGATGCAATTTTCAAAAATCATGGTTGCAAATGCATGCACTCTACATTTTCGGAAGCTCTTACTTAATTTGCTTTGCCTCTTTCTTATTTTACTTCTTTTAGTTCAGACAGTATTACAATAGTTGATGTGAAGTCATAGTATCTTTAACGTTTAGCAAACAATAAACAATATGAGGGGCAAGTGCAACTTAAATCAAAGCCTAATTAATAACTCCAAGAGATTACCATTCAATTTTAAAAAGTTTAAGACAATATTAAGAAATATTAAAGAACCCAAAACTCGATATACAGATTTCGGTTTCATCCCCGAGAGCGTTTTATACTAAGCGGTTACAGGCCTGTTCAAGTTTGCGAATTAGACTCCTGAAATTGAAGGCACAGAAAATAAAATCCTACATTTAAAATGGCAGTTACAAGAAACAGGGAAAAAAAATATCCATGACATAATTTTACAGGGTGTTTAAAAAGTCCCGAACCCATTTTGATGTTTAATAACTATTAAAATAATAAAGATAGATTAAAATTAATAACATAAATGGTTAAATAGACTCAAAAAGTTTCAAGACCCTTGTCAATGAACTTCGACGTGTGTCCCCTTCGTCGCACGGAGAATATCAAGTCGGTATTCAATTTCACGCCAGGTACCGGCAAGCATGTCGGCATCCACAGTCGTATACTTGGACATGTTAGAAAACTTCGTATTTCTACAACTAGAAGAGTTTCAGCCACATGTGTTTTTGCAACAAGATGGTGCACCACCTCATTGGGGTACCGTCGTTCGTAGTTCCTTCAATGACCATTTTACAGGAAGATGGATTGGGCCAGGAGGTCCAATACCTTGGCCATCCAGATCACCTGATATAACACCGCTGGACTTTTTGTTTGGGGATTTGTAAAGGACAACGTTTACAGGAGGAGAGTGTCGAGCATTGATGACCTAAAAGCCAGAAGTACAACCGCAATAGCCTCTGTGGATGCCGAGATGCTTGCCGCTACCTGGCGTGAAATTGAATATCGACTTGATATTCTCTCTGCGACGAAGGAGACACACGTGGAAGTTCATTGACAAGGGTCATGAAACTTTTTGAGTCTATCTAACCATTTATGTTATTAATTTTAATCTATCTTTATTATTTTACGAGTTATTAAACATCAAAATGGGTCCGGGACTTTATAAACATCCTGTACTGTAAACTAATGCCGCACGGAGACGGGTACACTTATTCACTAAAGGAACACATCTTTCAGGACGTATTGATCGCTTGTAGAGCCTTGCAACAAGTATTTCCCTCAGATGGGAATACTTTCTCTTTTTAATACTCGAAATCCGCTTACTGAAAACAATAAACATCTTAAGAGGTATACTAAGAAGCGTTTAAAATAAACTTTAAAGAGTTAATTGTCCGGTAAATTAAAATTTCAATACTTTGAGCGAATGATAATTGCTAAAAATTAAAATCGATAGTTTAGGAGTTTGGTTTGACTTCCGCATAAGATTCCCCTGCCCGCATTTCGCGATCCACCTCCTGTGGCGAACGTTCTGTGTGGCAAGCCGGCTAATTGACTGAGGGATTAGTCCATTCCCTTCCAATAAAGTATCTGGTCTCGAGCCAGATTTGCATTAGGTAACTATAAATCATATATATTATTAATTATCCATCTTATACACTTACGCCTGGTACCAGATCAGATTAGAATTAGATTTTCGTGTCAAAGAAAAGCTTCGCTCTAAATGTAAAGAATACGAGCAGTGTAGGCAGATCACTACGAAATTCATTCCTGCCATTTTTATGGATGCTACCACTTCGCAGTTTAACAATATCATCATCATGGTTATCGTATAAAACTGAGAAACTTTCAAAACTTTTATTTTATTAGAAGTCTTAATCGAGATGTGAAATTTTGAAGCATTTTCGAATTGCCCCACTTTTTACACAGCATGGAGAATTGGTAGGAATCTAACGGGTTTTTCTTTAAAACCCATATTTTTTATTTCCAAGATACATCAAACATCGGTGCACGAAGAAGAAGACAAATCAGTTTTAATTAACGGTGATGATTTAGAATTCCTAGAATAGAAATCATCCTTTTTCATAATCGCGGGCTGGGAAAAACAGAGAAGATGAGGAAATAGAAGTTTGCAAAAGTCGACCGAAGAAAAGACGTCCAAAAATCTCAACTCCTAGAAACTTTAATTACGACATAAGCCTTATATATGGTTAAGAAGCTGATTAGGTTTACATAACTGTAACAAAACACACGAGAGATGCCTTTGTGGAAGAATTTCTAAAGGCTCGTATCCAAGATACACATGGAAAAACCACGAAAATGCCCGTGTAGCCAGCCAGCTTTGAACCCCGGTCGAGCTACCGGTGTTCAACAACGTTACCGCTGGTTAGTTCATTTACTAAAAATTCCTCATAATTAAGTACATTGCATATTTCGAAGTCGAATAAAAGAACATAATTAAAACATAGATGGAGGGGGGCAATGACTGCTAGAATATCAAAATCACGATGCATTAATTAATGTGCTCTCTACCCAGTCTTCAATAAATTTACCATAATTTAAAACATTCCGCATTTCCGTATTCTAATCAAATTGTTGAAGAAAATGTAGCCGTTCGATTAACACATCAGAACTTACGGCCAGAATATCAAGATTACAATGGAGTATTTTCTCTCAAACAAGTTATCTCAACAAATGTATTTAAAGCATTCAGGAATTCTACATCGCTTGGTGGGAAAAAGTTTAAACATGCATTTGAAAGCAAAATAATCTGTGTCTAGAGTATCAAGATCGCGATGATGACTACATTACAAGGCACTTTTATCCACATCGGGAAGTGGTAACACAAGCGTGAACAATAATTCACCATATATGTTGAAGTTCCGCCTTCCAACGATAGATGTCGCTAGGTAACAAAGCCAAGACAAGCAGACTCCACCTCGCACGATGCCGCCTCGCAATTGGAGGGAACTTGCTAAAGTACACGACTACCGGCGCCAGTCCTTCCACGCCGAGGCGCCTGCGGAAGGTGCGGGGTGAAGGGTAGTAGGGGGTCGGTAAGAGTGCCTCCCTTTTAGTGTACTTCGAAGCTTAGATCCCTCCCCATAGTTTTAGTGAAATCGTCCCATGTTTACAGTTGATAGAAGGTGATGTATCTGCTTCTTTTTGTGCCACGAATGTAGTGATGTGTTTCAGATGTAGCGATGTGTTGTGAAATGCGAAAGATCTGAAGCCAAAGCCGCGTTTTCGAAGATAGCGCAGAAGTAGCGTTCGTTCGTAGGCGGTGGCCGATAGAGAGAGTGAGTGAACGAGCGAGAGAACGATCTCGGTTGGAAAACGGGTAAGATATTTTTTTTTATCAGTTCTGAATTCATGTTGCGATTGTAAAAAAAGGAACATGCTGCGGTAGAGATATGCACATATTTTTGAATTTATTGGTGCATGCTGTCAAAAATTCCTGAAAAGCTTCTGAATCTCCTTAGGAATTTGTATCGTAAAACGATGCTGACGCCTTTATTGATTTTTTTTTTTTCTCTTTAAAAAAGTATATTATGGTTTATAATATTAGCGCAGATGTTTAAAATTAAGATAGCTTTCATCTTTATTTGTTAAATAATTGTTTTTTTGGACAATAATTATATAAAAAAAAATCTGATGTGTGCACCACATGACTTCCTTGTAGAGAATATTAAATTATGCGCATTTTTTCTACCATTTCATTTAAAATTATTGGATTGAATTAAATCTACTTCCTCAATAGCGCATAAACCACAATAGAATAAATGCACTCTTTAAAATTCACTATATTTGTTTACCATAGCGACACTCTGGCACTAGGTTCATTTAACAGCGCTACATTTCAATCATTTTTAACTCAGAATGCACAAAATTCATATCATCTTAAGGATTATCTAATCGTTGCCACATGTTCTATTCAAATACTATAATAAATCTAAAACGATGTATAAAAGAAATTAAACAGAGAACAACAGCAGCAAAAGAAACAGTTTTTCACGGACAATTCAGTATTTCTCATTCAATTAATTCAGTTCTCACTTCGCGACAAGGCAAAAATTATATAAAAGTCAAAATGTCTGTATTGAAAATTACGAAGTAAATCTTAAACACTTATTTCCACGAATAAATTCCAGAATGGATTAAGCATGATTTAATTCGCAATAATAAAAGAAGGCGTTATCTTTGTTATTGCGAAGTTTACTTTCCCTAGATTGGCAACAAATTTACTATTCTGTTATTTTTCAAATGTAAAGAAGCAATGACCGACATGGCAAAAAATTATTAGGCTTAGCGGCATTAAACAACTTTCAAATTGTTGATAATTCTAATAATATTGCATACAGATTTACTAAAGGCATAAAAACCTTAACCGGAAGATTAAGAACAGCATAATTCAATCATTTTTAAAGCAAAAAATGCACAACTTACAAACATATAAGAATAAAGAAATTGAGAGCACTGAGCCGAGTAACAGAGTGGATATATATACATACGTTTATATAATTTTGGTTTGGCCGATTGCAACCAGAATACCAGAATACGAGGTGCACATCTGCATGTTATAGCAGTCCTATATACAAAATTTCAACGTTCTGAAGATACTCGTTTTTGAGTTATGCGAGATACATACATATGCACAGACGCCACGAAAAATTCTCTTCAGAATTCATTTTAAATTAGTTTCACAATTCTTTTGGGGGAAAAGAGTCCTTTATTCTGTCCTTACATACAGATGTCAAGCAAAAACATCGTTAAATTGCATTCGATAGCGGTGAAAATGGATATTTGCGTTGAAATATGATGCCTGAAACTTTTCGGGATTACAATACTTCCTTTTTACTTCGTACAAGGAAGTAAAACTGAAGCTAACAATTAAATAGTCGTTGTATTTTGTTCTATTCCGACAAATAAATATAATTTGCTTATTTACATGCTACAACCATCTGCTACAAATTAAAACTACAGTACAATAATGTTCGCCCCCCTTCAAATTAAGTTGAAGGTATATGAAGCTTTAGGGACAGAAAATTTCTTTTTTATTCTATATTCAAGGACATAAAATAAATTTTACGAAATTTCTTTTTTTAATTGCGCATTTATTAACAATATTAATAGGGTTCATTACACATAGTTATCAATTAAAAGCATAAAATATTACCAGGCACTTTTATATAGATACACAATGATATAGATATCAAAACTATACTTGTAGATACTATCAAATCTATACAAGGATATTATATCTCTTTAAAGTCTCAAGTTTTCTAAAAATTCAGTCACTTAACGGAACTACAATTTTGGCCTTAACTAAATTTGCCAATTCGGCATCTTCATTATTACTTGAGTAAAAGACGAAACACCTCAGCATTTATTAATTATTGTTCATCGAACGGGAGTTGGTTTGTTCCCCTTGAAAAGTCAACTAATTTCCGATCAATGACGATAATTACTTGGTTTATTAATTTTCTATTTCAAAGTTTGAATTTTTGTTATTCATGATTTAAATTCAAATACCTTTAAAAATCTATTTCATGATTTAAATTCAAGTCCCCTTAAAAAATTTTCGTGATTTACATTAAAGTGCCTTTAAAAAACAATTTTCGAAATTAAATTTCATACTTCTAGATATACTATCAAATCTATACAAGGATTGTGTGCTGTTTTAAGCACAAAGTATTTTGCTGAGAATTTGTTTAGTTTGGGCAATTTTTAAGCAAATTTTGGCCCAATTATTCATTAAATAACAAAAAAGGGGGGAATAGGGAAATAGATATAAAGTACTATAAAACGTGTATAACTTGATAACGATTTTGTAGATGAAGACTAGTAAAAGTCGTGTCGAAAATGTAGGTAGAGAGAAGACTTAATTTTAACTTCACCACAGAGATAAATATCATACCATGTATTAAAAATTCTTAAATTCCGAAATAAAGGAGTTGCAATTTGCCGCATTTAGGGAAAAAAGTGTCATCCTTTGCAAATACTGAAGAATGAAATCAAAGAGTAATATGTCATACAAAAAGGACATAATTCTTAATTTCAGCATTTAAAATCGCTTAACCTTTTCATTTTATAAGATTCTTCCCCTTAATTCCGAAAAAAAAAAAAAAAAAAAAAAATGGGCGTTATCCTTGTTTAGAGGAGTCGGTTCTTGCATTAATGAACTAGTGACATTATCAAGAATTAGCTTAATAATAAATAAAAACAATTGAAATCATCTCTGCATAAAAACAACAAAAATCCCGTTTATGATGAAGGCTTTTAGTAAGTAATTTTAGAATTATTCAGAAAGCGAATGAGAATTAAACTGATACTTCCATTTCTATGATCAAAATAAATAAGGAAGATGAAATTCTGCCATCTCTTAATCTGTTAAGTTTCCAGCAGATATGCATCTAAATATTTTTATGATTTATTTATTTCGCTTGAATTATTATACTCAGTAGGATGTGTTACGATAAAGGAACTCTTTAAATTATGCCTGTGTTATATTTCAGTAGGTGTCAATTTTTTTTTCTGCTTGGCCTACTCTTAAAATAAAATTTCCTAAAGTGGCAAGTTCATTTTATGACATCTTAGCAATCTTATATATATCTTAATAGATGGTTTTTTATCTATTGAAGAATATATTCTTAATAAAAATATCCCGATTGGTGGTTGCAAAGCTATTTTAAGAATCTTACTTAGCATTATCTCTTTCAGAGATTCTGATGAGTTTAAAAAAAAAAAAAAGAAGGAAAAAAATGCATTCATATTTGTATTACTAACAGAAAAAAGCTTTTTTGCTAACTGGATTAAATACTCAAATATTGTCGACAGTCGAAAGAGAAGTTTTGCAATTTAGCAGCCATATGAACGATTTCGCTTTTTAATCTGTATGGGCATCTCTCAAGAATGAGTAGATAGTTTTAATACATACATTAACCACTTGAAAACGCATAAATCTAACAAAATGATGTAATTAATTTCGATTATAAAAATGAACTCATTCAAATATATTTTTTTTTAAATTTCAAGTGCATAAATTAACCATTTTAAAACTTAATGATTAATCAATTATATTAAAGCTTAATAAAAAGATAAAATAGATAACATAACTAGATAAAATTCGAACTCTGAATTATTTGAAATAAGTCCTTTTCCAGGACTCTCTAGGAATGTCTAGGCCCTCAAAACCATCGGTCTAGACACTGTTTTCCCGAGAGAGTGGAATCAATATATTATATGAACTATACTGATATATGAGTATTGTATAGGAACTATAATAAAATTACTTTTTAAAATATTTAAATAACTATATGAATGAATAAAAGTACAAATTAAATTCCGTTGTTATTAGACAAAGTGATTTCGCCTCTGATAAACCAAGTGACAATATATTTTGTTTGCTCTTGTCTAGGAGTATTAAAATAAATTTTTTCTTGTTGGAATTCGTTTTAAAAGGAAGAAAAAACTCTATATCTAAATGCAAATTTATAATCCTGAATTTAGTGACGGTATGCTATGAAATTACCAAGCTGCAATACAAGGGTGTATCTGTAATTATTGATGCAACTTTCTAATACACCTCACCCAGCCACTCGAGAATATCAACGGAGAAAATCAGACTGCACAGCCACCGATCATCTATCATTAAACTCGCAACTTGCTATCAGAAAGGAAGCGAGCAAGGCAGTTTTCTTTGGAAAGCCTCCTTATTTAGTCTAAAAGACTTTTAACTATATATTTCTTCACACATAATCTGGAATTTCGATTTATGATATGAATGATTGTCATAACTTCAATACTCTTTTCATGTTTTCAAGACATTTCCTCGAAACTAGAGTCTGCATGGGAAGATGACAGCGAATATCTTTATTTGAAGACCCCCACCGTATACTTTCCAGCGGTACAGATTCCATCGCACTTCTTCGATTTATACCATATTCAGTTGCAAAGCACAATTGCTTACCATATTATACCATATTCAGTTGCAAAGCACAATTGCTTTGCAACTGAATATGGTAAAAGACAATAAAATATTTCCAATGAATTCTACATTTCAGAATGAGAGATGGTTTGTAATGTTATGGGACTTTGATTGCTGTCGGCAATAAAGCTCAGTTTTATCATTCAGCCGAGAACTAGCTTCAGAACAACCGGCTTTCAGAAAATAGTTTCGTTAGTTTTTATGTTGATTACTATTCCCAGAGATGACATCATCAAATTTCTTTTTTCCAGTTTTCCATCTTCTCCCATATTTTTCGAATGAAATAAAGTTTAGAATACTTGATGCATTAGCGCTCCGGCAAAAGATGGTAATCTACGAATATCTTAAATTTT